TCAGATGAAATTTAGCAGGCATAATTGTGAAATTTTATACTTAAGTTCCAAAAGTCAACTTCATAAGTATAAGGTGGGGGACCAGTTTATCTGAAAAGGTTCGAGGGATTTCTAAAACTCAGTAGTACACAGCTTCCTAGGTTAGTACGTCTTCTGATTTTCCCCTTCACTTTAATTCTCTGACCAGAAATCACAAGTTACACTTCAGTCTTAGCTGGTCACATTGCTTACTGAAAAATTTCTGGTCAGTAATGAATGTGAATTTCTTTCAGTGGTTGTCAGTTAATTTCATCAGACCACATTCAATACGGTCCCCTGCAACTGTGATGTGGTCAAAACTAAAGAGAGCATTCTAGGAGAAATATAAAATGTAGGTAGGACAATGACTGCCTCACGAACCTTACAGTACAGTAGAAGTCAAAATCAGTTTATAAAAGATGACACAAAGTACTGGGTGAAGTCCAAAGGGAGAACTTAACAGGAAGATAAAGGAAAGCTTCATGGAAGTAGCTGCATTTAAGTTTGGTTTAAAAAAAATTTCAATAGACCAAAAGCAAGAATAAGGAGATTCAAGAACTAAGTGAAGGCACAGAAGGAAGGGACTTAGAATATTGGGAGACAGAGAAAACCAGCATGGCTAAAAATGTAATATACATGGGACTACTAATATAACGTAAGGCTGAAAAAGAATGGTGGGGCCAAGAGGGCCTTCAGATCCAAGTAAAAAATATTTTCTGAACTTTACTTGGTAGATAATGGAGGGACACTAAAGAGTTCTGAACAGAATTGATACCATAACCAGAGTTATGCCAATGAGAGCTGCCTTTCTCAAATACTTAAAAAGCACAGTACTAGGAACACAGTAAAAGGCTGCTAAATTCCTGCGGACTGATTAGCTATACAAAACCTGAAAGAGACCTCAGTAGCCAGCTAGGCCAGCCCCCCAGTTTTACAGATGAAGAGAGGAAGACCTAGGGAAGTCATGGCCCAAAGTCGTGTTATCAGGTGGGATTTGAACTCTTGTCAACTCCAGAGCCCCATACCCTTTTCACTGTGCTGCTTGTCTCTCAATAGTAATAGGTGACATAAGTACAGAATTTTGCACTTTTGTTGTCATGGTAGAGGTTATTAAAGCGATGGATAGAGAAGAGTAGAAAATAACTTTGCAGACGCAGAAGAGTCAGGGAATGGTCATAACAGAAATAGTAAAGTACGAAGGAAAACAAAACTTAGGGGAAAGATGAAAACTTTCTTGGACATACTGAGTTTGGGATGCCAAAGGAACATACAAAAGGAAATGTCTTACATAGAGTTGGAGAAAATAATTTAGAATTTTAAAAGATGTCAGGGCTTGAAATTTGAAAACCATAAAATAGATAAAACCACCTGTAAAATAGGTGAAATCATGCAAGCAAATGACAGTATCAAGAAGTCCAGAGTAAGATGTGGCATACTTGGAAAACAACGGACAGGATGAACATCCAGTGAAAGAAGTCTTTTAAAATGTTTTCTTTTTTTACTGAAAACAATCAGACACAAGCATTAAAAGATATAAAGTGGGCAGCTAGATGGCACAGTGGATAGAGCTCCGGCCTTGGAATCAAGAGGACCTGAGTTCAAATCCAGCCTCAGACACATGACACTTACTAGCTGTGTAACCCCGGGCAAGTCATTTAACTCCAATTGCCTCACTCCACCCCCCCCAAAAAAAGAAAAGATACAAAGAACACAGAAGTACAAAAAACCGCATATTTCTGTCACCAGTTTTTTGTAAGCATTATATAATGCTTACAAAACAAGTTTAACAAATTAGTAACAAAATTTGCCTGACTTTTTTTCTTCTATGCATTTCAAAATCTCTTTTATTGGTACTCTTCCTTTTTTCTATCACTACCCACTAACTTACCTTACTTCCTACCCTAAGTAGAAACTTTCCTTGTAACAAATATGCACAATCAAGCAAAACAAACCTGTACCTCAGCCACAACTCACAGCATATCTGATTCTTTAGATCTGGCCCATCACCTCTCTGTCCAAGAGGCAGGAAACAGGCTTCCCCACTGCTCTTTTAAAGTCATGACTGTCACTTTGGCCAGAGTTCTGAGGTCTTACGAAGTTGTTTCCTCACAAGTTATTACTGTTGTCATCATGTAAATAGTTTCCCTGGTTCTTCTCATTTCACAATGCATCAGTTCATAGGTCTTTCAATACTTCTGAATTCAGCCTATTAATCATTACATAAGTCAAAATATTATGTTCTATTCCTTGCCTAACTGATTTTTGTTTCCAGTTCTGCTATACATTTCCATCTATCTTTGATATCCTTTGAGGATACAGAAAAATATTCTGAAAGAGCAATTAGATGAATGCACTGTAAGAAACAACACAGAATTCAACCAAAGATTTATATGAATTTATGTGAGCAAGGAAAAATGGAACCAGGAGAACAATATACACTACGATTATCATAAAAGTAAATGAAAAATAAACTAAACGGAAGTGCAACTCTGACTAGAAGGGATAATCAGTCATGTTCTCAGAGAATAAATGATGAAACACAGTTCCCTCCATTGAGTACAGAGGTAAGAGACGAAGAATGTATAAAGTTTCATATGAATAGAGTGATAGGCCTAGAGTCAAAAGACCCAAATTCAAATCCAGCTTCAGACACTTAATAGCTATGTAACCCTGGTCAAGTCATTTAACCTCTGTTTGCCTCAGTTTCCTCAAGTATAAAATGGAGATAATGACAGGACCTACCTCCCAGGGTTTTTTTCAGGATGAAACAAAATAATTGTAAAGTATTTAACACAGTGTCTGGCACACAGTAAGAGCTATAAAAACATTATTATTATTACTTCTCCATAAGTCTTCTTTTCCCCAGATTAACTATCTCCATGTTCTTTAACCAGTGAATTCCAGTAGATGTATAAATTGTTGAAAGACCTAAATTCATGTTTCCAGGTAAGTCATCAAATCCAAATGCCTCCTGTGATACCTCATTCTGTTCTGGTATTTTGTAGATTACCCCTAAAACTTTACTTCTCTTTACACTTCTACTTTTTTTTCCACTATGACTCTCCTCTCAAGTTTCTGGGTCTCCCCAAATGAGTATATTCCAAAGTTAACCATGCTATCTTCTCACTGAGATTTATATTGTAAAAAAATGTAATTTCCCACAAAATATCTGGCATAGATAGATAGATCTGGCAAATATTTAAAACTTTATATACTTATATATAATATGCACTTGTTCACAAGTTCTCAAAGTTATGTCTCAGACAGCTAGCAAATGATCAAAATAAAAAAATAAGAGTTTTATAATTCAAGAACTATTCATGAAATGTTTTACATTCCATCAGCTTACTAAAAGATGATTCAAAAACATGATCTTTACTATAGTAAAACTATGCCATCAGAAGGCAAAAAAAATCAATAATCTTTAGATGTCTGATCTCTTCAGACACTATAATCTGATCTAACAAAGTAGCCTCTGATAATATATTCTGAATACAAAAGTCAAATAGAAACTACAACAACCAGGTTTGGTCATCCTACAAATTCTTTGCTTCCTCAGAGGATCTTTTCCCCAGACCTACCTACCTTCTGTTTGCCATACTCCCATCAAAATCTGCTCTCAATTAACAACAGCTTAGTTGAGAACATGGTAACAGCTCAGTGTGTTCCACTACTACTCCAGGGCTATCTACAACCTTAACCCGAGGAATGACACAAAAATATCAGTGAAGGAAAGAACGGCATTCTGAAGAGGGAAATTTCCCCCCCCTTCAGGAGTAATCAACAACACGGAAATAGGTCAGAAAGCAAACTGTCACATTTATGGATTTTGCATCACACTTTGAAATAAAAAATACAATCTAAGTCAAAAAACTAAACACACAAAATAACAGTTTCAAGGAACTATATACATTTTTACCTACCTTAGCATTTTATGTAACTTATCTGAAGTCATGCCATTTCCATTGTCAGTAAATGTCAAGCATATGTTGTCATTTATAACAGTCTTATCAATCCATATCTGCTTAGCATTCACATCAGGATCATAAGCATTATCTAAGAATCATCAAAAAGAGAGTCTTATTTTCTATCAAGCAATTCACAGTTGCTTTTTTGTACTTGAATTCAACAGTTGGTTAAGACACTTCACAAAGACACTGGTTTAAAAGAGAATATTAACTTAATATAAGAAAGAGAATACTAATTAAAAAGTTTAAAATGTTGCAATTTCCAGAAATGTATGACATGTAATTTTTAGCTAAAACAATTTCTACAATAACTTTACATTAAATATTGATTCCAGCAAAATTCCTGTTATATTTAAAATGTATTAAAGGTGAATTTTAGTAGTGGACAATAGTTGCTTGAATCAGAAGCTTAACATGAAACTAGAGTAACTAAACCAAAGCAGTGGTACAAGAATATTCCAACCCTTCAAGTGTCAGACTTGATCATCTGACAATTTATACTTTTGTGAAAAGGATATGGGCAGAGGGAAGGCAGTAAAGGAAGTTGGTAGCTGTTATTTTTCAAATGTAATAGTGATGTTTCAACAAATTACAAAAATAAGACCCCAAACAACTCATAGTACAATTACTCAAATTATGAGTAATCTATTAGTTTGTTTTCACCCTTCTACAACTGTCTGTGATAATTAAGAACAATAAATAAAATATAGGTGACTGGCATAAAATTTTAACTTGTGATATAAAAATATAAAAGTCATGGAAAGAAAAAACAAGATTACTAGACTCCATTAAATAGATTCACGTGGAGGCTGGCTTCACCTTCACTGAGCAGTCTGTCTTTGGTCTGGGATTCTTAACCTTTTTTATGTCATGAACAGTCTTTATGACACTATGTCCCTATGACAATCTAGTGAAGCCTATGGACCCTTTCTCACAATAATGTCTTGAAATACTTAAACTACAAAAGAAAATAACAACATTGAAATATGGTTATCAACTTTTTTTTTCAGGGTTTACAGACCCCAGGTTAAAAAACCTTCACCATACTGCTCAGCAAGAATGTACCAATTGATGATCTAAAGTTCCTCAGCATATAGCTCACTAGAGAAAAGGTAAGGAGTCCTAGCTCAAACAAAAATTGTTGCCAAAATGCAGTTTCACAAATGTCACATACTTAAGGATTATCTAAGACAGCAACAAAATAGAAGATGAAGGACTAAGAATGACACTTCCAAAAATAAAAAGTGCAAGTTAAAGAGCAAGAAGAATTTTTCATTGATTTGCAAAGTGTGCTATGTTCATGCTTCTTAATATCGTAACAGCTTCATGATGTGCACAAAGTATAAATCAGTATCTGTCCCAAAAGAGAAAGCAAAAAAATGGAAATAAACCTTCTACTCTCCAAATTATAAGGGAGAAAAAACTGGTACTATCTGAAAAACAAAAAAGGATATGAAGAGACAGAGAAAATCCTAATCAGTATTGAGATGGTTGGAGTTAGGAAGAGTAAGATGTAAAAAAGGAAGGGAAGAAGGTCCCTATAACATCTGTAGCTAAGTAATCGATACAATTGTCTTCCTGTAGAACATGCCTACACAACATCCAGCCCGAGGGCACTGTGAAAGGATTTCAGGCGGCCCACAAAAAATGTAGAGGATATAAAACAGGCCTGCACAACATACCACCCGAGGGCCACTTTGGCCTCACAGGCCGTACGTTGTACAGGCCTGCTGTAGAATATAAGCCTCCTAAAAGGATGGCCCCATATTTATATATCCAGCCCTTCATACAGTGTATGACTTGTTAAGTGGTTGATCCCCAGAGAGGAGGGTTCTTAATTTGGGAACATGGATAGGGGCCATGGACAGTTTTCAAGGGGTGCATGAATTTGGAAAGGGGGAAAAATCTTTTATTTTCTCTAGGCCCTAAATGAAATTTAGCATTTCCTTCAATTACATACGTAGACAACAGGGGGCAGAGCCAAGATGGCAGAGTGAAAGCAGTGACTTGCTTGAGATCTGCTCCAAACCCCTCCAAATACTCAAAAAGTGGCTCTAAACAAATTCTAAAGCAGCAGAATCCATAAAAAGACAGAGTGAAACAAATTTCCAGCCCAAGACAAGCTGGATGATTGATGAGAAAGGTGTATCGCGCCGGGCTGGGAGCGCAGCACCGCATGGCATGGATGTGCAGGCCGCAGCAAACCTGGAGCAGACCTCAGAGGACTGAATCAAGGGCAGCTGTGGAGGTTTCCAGACTCCTCAATCCATGAATGCCAAAGACAACTTAGAAGGTCAGTGGGAAAAGTCTGTTTCTGTCGGTGCTGAGACACGAAAAGTGGGGTTTCAGCTCCATTCCCCAAGAGCGTGGCCCTGGGGGGAGCTGCTGCTTCGCAAGCTTCCGGCCCACAGACTGAGGGGGAATCCAGTGGCTGATCAGAGGGAGATTGCAGGGATCTCTTTGCCAGTGCTGAGGCAGGAAACTCTTGCTTTGCCCGCACTTCGATCTGGGTCACAGTTCTGGGCGGTGGTGCTGGGGTGAGGAGGAACGCTGGCGTGGTAGAGCGTGGAATGGCTGTGGAGAGGAACCCTTCTTCACAGTTACAGGACAGAAAGGAATACTTGTGGTCACAGGCCAGGAAAGGAGTAAACACCTCACCCCTTCTCATACCACCTTGGAAGAACTGAAAATTTATGGACCCTACAAGCATCTCTGAAAACAGCTATACAAACCCCTGAAGCTTGGGACAGTACATTCTCCACACTAGAAGCAGACTCTTACCTTAACAAACAGTTTAAAACTCAAGTAATTGGCTGGGATCATGAGCAAGCAGTGCAAAAAGAGTCAGACTAGATTATCTTACTTTGGTGACAAAGAAGATCAAAATATACAACCAGAAAAAGACAACAAAGTCAAAGCTCCTACATCCAAAGCCTCCAAGAAAAATATGAATCAGTCCCAGGCCTTGGAAGAGCTCAAAAGGGATTTTGAGAAGCAAGTAAGGGAAGTAGAGGAAAAACTGAGTAATGCAAGAAAATCACGAAAAACAAGTCAACAGCCTGCTAAAGGAGACCCAAAAAATACTGAAGAAAATAACACCTTAAAAAATAGCCTAACCCAAATGGCAAAAGAGGTCCAAAAAGCCAATGAGGAGAAGAATGACCTAAAAAGAAAAATTGGCCAAATGGAAAAGGAAGCCCAAAAGATTACTGAAGAAAATACTTCCTTAAAAATTAGAATACAGCAATTGGAAGACAGTGACTTTATGAGAAATCAAGACACTGTAAAACAAATCCAAAAGAATGAAAAATTAGAAAACAATGTGAAATATCTCATTGGAAAAACAACTGACCTGGAAAATAGATCCAGGAGAGAGAATTTAAAAATTATTGGACTATCTGAAAGCCATGATCAAAAAAAGAGCCTAGACATCATCTTTCAAGAAATTATCAAGGAAAACTGCTCTGATATATTAGAACCAGAGGGCAAAATAGAAATTGAAAGAATTCACTGATTACCTCCTGAAAGAGATCCCCAAAGGAAAACTCCTAGGAATATTATAGCCAAATTCCAGAGTTCCCAGGTCAAGGAGAAAATATTACAAGCTGCCAGAAGGAAACAGTTCAAGTACTGTGGAAACACAATCAGGATAACACAAGATTTAGCAGCTTCTACATTAAAGGACCACAGGGAATGGAATATAATATTCCACAGGGCAAAGGAGATAGGATTACAACCAAGAATCACCTACCCAGCAAAACTGAGTATAATCCTTCAGGGGAAAAAATGGTCGTTCAGTGAAATAAAGGACTTTCAAGCATTCTTGATGAAAAGACCAGAGCTGAATAGAAAATCTGACTTTCAAATACAGGACTCAAGTGGAACATGAAGAGGTAAACAGGAAAGAGAAATCATAAGAGACTTATTAAGATTGAACTGTTTACATTCCTGCATGGAAAGATGATATTATAACTCATGAGACCTTTGTCAGTATTAGGGTAGTTGGAGGAAAAAAATTATATGTATGTATATGTAGATAGATAGATAGAGGGCACAGGGTGAGTTGAAGATTAAGGGGTCATATCTGGAGAATAAAATTAAGGGATGAGAGAGGATTATACTCGGGGAAGATGAAAGGGAAAGGTAGAATGGGGTAAACTACCTCACACAAAAAAAAAAACAGAAAAGAAAAGTCTCTTACAGTGGAGGGGAAACGGGAAGGTGAGAGAGAATGAGTGAATCTTATTCTCATAGGATTTGGCTTAAGGAGGGAATAAAATACACATTCAACTGGGTATGGAAATCTGTCTTACCCTACAGGAAAATAGGGGGAGAAGGGGACAAGAGAGCAGGGGGATGATAGAGAGGAGGGCAGATTGGGAAAGGGAGTAATCAGAAGTAAATACTTCTGAGGAGGGACAGGGTCAAAAGAAAGAATAGAATAAATGGGAGGGCAGGATAGGATTAAGGGAAATAGAGTTAGTTTTTCACAACATGTCTACTATGGACGTGTTTTGCATAACTGCACATGTACAACCTATACTGAGTTGCTTGCCTTTTCAATGAGGGTGGGTGGGGAGGGAGGAAGAGAGAAAATGTGAAACCTAAAGTTATAAAAACATATGTTTAAAAAAAATGTTTTCACATGCTACTGGGAAATAAGAAATATAGGAAATGGGGTACAGAAGTCTATCCTGCCCTACAGGAAAATAGAAGGGGAAGGGGATAAGAGAAGGGGAGAGAGATAGAAGAGAGGACAGACTAAGGGAAGGGATATTCAGAACGCATACCATCTTGGGACGGGAGGAGGGGGGAGATGGGGTATAAATTTGGAATTCAAAAACTTGTGGGAGTGAATGTCGAAAGCTAAAAATAAATAAATTTATATTAAAAAAAAAACTAACTAATAAATAAATAAAAAGCAAAAAAAAAAAAAACAAACCAAATGTAGACAACAAACCATAGTAGTATTCATCATACTGTCATGACACAAAAAAGGTTAAGAACCCCCCTGCCACAGAGGCAGGAACTGGACTATCTTAAGAAGCAGAAACTTTTTGTCCTCCAATAAATGTAACAATCCACAGGTGCTATGTGAAATCTAATCCTATTTAGATAGCAATGAGTATTGGTTATTGGTACCTTAGCACTAAATCTTAGCAGGAAATTATTGGTCAACCTGAGAAAGCCAGGTCCCTCAATGAGCTGAAGTCTAAGTCTAAAGCAGAGGTAACAAACACATGGCCAGCACTCTTTCCCCCAAACCAGATTAAAATGTAACTAGGAAATACTTAAAAAATAAAAATACAATAGAAAAGATAATATTAATATGTGGTTTTCTAAGTCAACATGCAGCCAGCAGGGACCCTTATGTATGGTTTAGTATCCCCCATTTTTAATTTGAGTTTGACACCACTAGTCTAAAGGAACTGTATTAAGTTCTGAATAAACTAGATGCTGTAATTGTTGAGCTACTATGATTGAACTTTTGAAAGATGTTGGAGAAAAGCAGAGGTACCACAGGACTAGAAAAGGGCAAATGTTCTCATCTGCAAAAAGGTAAAGAAGAAAAATACTGAAAAATTCTAAGTCAATGTGCTAAATTTCCTGGCAAAATTCTAAATACACTATTAAAGGGGCTGTTTCTGAGTATTTTAGAAAAGGAAGCAGTGATCATCGAAGCTCAAAAAAACTTCATCAGAAACAGGTCATGACAAAATAAGTGCATTTACTTTTCTGACAGGAAGCAGGCCACAAGGGAAAGGAGGCTGACTCTCAGGTCAGAGGATATGGGTTCAAATCCTAATTGTACTACTTACTACTTTTGTGACCCTCAACAAGTCACTTAACCTTACTGGGTTTCAGTTTCCTCACCCCTAAAATGAGGGAGTGTGACTAGATGATCTCTGAAATGCCTTCCAACTCTATCATCCCATAATCCTATACTGGTAGATCAGGAATGCTGCTTAAGCTAACCTGATGGCCAAAGTAGAGAGATGTGGATTAGATTGATAAAATGGATGTGGAACTGTCAGACTCACCAGATGTAAAAAGTCCTTAATGATGAATTAAAACAGCTCTGTATTCATATGCAGATTAGCAAAGATGACAAAACTGAAAATGATAGTTTTCGGAGGGGCTAAAAGAAAACAGGTTCACTAAGGAACTGTGAATTGGTATAGCTGACTCTGGAAAGCTATGCCCTCAAAGTCATTAAACTGTACATAGCCATTGTTTTGCTTGCTTTTTAAATTTTTTAAAATTATTTTTCTCTACCACCCATCTCCCCAGTCAATTGAAAAAAAAAAGAAAATTCTAACAATAATAATAACTAACATTTATATATAGCTTTAAATTTGCAAAATGCTTTGCAACTATTATCTCATTTGACCCTCCCAACAACCCTGGGAGGAGGGTGCTATTATTATTATCATTTTACATCATGAGAAAAATAAGGCAGATAGAAGTTAAATGACTTGCCCAGGATCACACAGCTAGGTCTGAGGATCTGAACTTAGGTATTCCTGAGTTCAGGCCTAGCACTCTATTCACTTTAACACCTAGCTGCCTCTAAGCGGTTAACAAATATGCATTGTCAAGCAAAACAAATCCCTGCATTAGCCATGTCCAAAAAGTATATTTCTTACTCTGTACAGAATCCAACATCTCTTCTATGCATAACCTGTGTCCCAGTGATACCACTAATTAATCTTATAACCTCAAAGAGATAAAGGAGGAAAAAGACTCATATGTACAAAAATATTTACAACAACATTTTTTGTTGTAGAAGTCCTGGAAACAAAGGAAGTACCCATCAACTATGGAACGGCTGAAAAAATTAAGGTACATAAATGTCATGGAATATTACTGCACCATAGGAATGACAAGAGGGAGTTTCAAAGAAAGCTGGGAAGGCTTGCATGAACTGATGCAGAGTGAAATGAGTAGAATCAGAAAAGCAACATGTACAGCAACAAACATATTATAAAGAAAAACAACTTTGAAAGCCTTAAGACCTCTCATTAATGCAATGACTGAATAACTCCAGAGGGCTAATAAGGCAGCATAAGGAGATGAATTCAAGGTGTAGAATAAGGTATACATTTTTTTGAACATGGTAAATCTGTGTGTTTCACTTGATTATTGTTATAAGGATTGTTTTTTTCTTTTTGAGTGTGGAAGGAGGGAGAAGTGGTGAAAAAGCCAGAGATAAGGTAACCAAAAAAGAAAGAAAGAAATACTATAATAGGATCATTGAAGCACTTTCTAAAATGCACAGCAGAGAATTGAAGTTCAGAAGGAAACTGATAAGCAGGACAGCTTTGAAAGTAATGTTAAATTTATTTTATGCTTTTTAAAAAAGTAAATGGTGCAAAATAAAAATTTAAGTGTTTAACAAATAATCCTTTCTCAGTTCTACTTTGTATATGAAAACATTCTTTTTTTTAGTATATATTAAATTAAAAATAAAAATATATAATTTTTTTTACGTCTTGGAAAGAGGTCTCTAGTGGAGTGTCCAAGCGATCAGGCCTTGGCCACAAACAGGTTAACATTTTTAGCAATGATTTAATGAAGGCATAACTGCAGGACCAAAAAACAGAAAGACAGCTAACATTTTGGATCACAAAGTCCGAATCCAAAAAAGTTCTAAAAGAAAACTGTAAAATTCTACTTGATTTCAAAAAACTAAGTTCACAAGTACTTGTGAACAACTAACTATAAAATACTTGGGGTCTCAGTGGACACAAAGCTCAAGATCAATTAAAAGTGTGACATTAAAGTGAAGAATGACGGTGAGAAGAGAGTTCAACAACGCTCTAGTCAAACCACAAATACTGTGTTCAGTTTTGGGCACCACATTTTGGGAAGGATATTAACAAGCTACACTATGTCCTAAGCGGGCAACCAAAAATGGTGAGGAGGGGGGATATCACGCCATTGGCTAATATAACAGAAAAGAAAAGTGAGAAATGTTGGAGAAGATAGGAGAAAAGTGGAACACCAGTGCATTGTTGGTGGAGTTGTAAACTGATCCAACCATTCTGGACAGCAATTTGGAACTATACTCAAAGGGCTATAAAACTGTGCATACCCTTTGATCCAGCAATACCACTGCTAAGTCTGTATTCCAAACAGATCATAAAAAAGGGAAAAGGATGCACACATACAAAAATATTTATAGCAGCTCTTCTTATGGTGGGGCAAAGAATTAGAAACTGAGGGGATGCCCATCAACTTGGAAATGACTGAACAAGTTGTGGTATATGAATGTAATGGAAAACTACAGTGCTATAAGAAATGATGAGCAGGCAGACTTCAGAAAAACCTGGAAGGACTCACATGAACTGATGCTGAGTGAAGTGAGCAGAACCAGAACATTTTATACCACAACAGCAACACTGTACGATGACTAACTTTGATAGATTTAGCTCTTCTAAGCAACACAATGATCCAAGACAATTCCAAAAGACTCATGATGGAAAATGCTATCTATATCCAAAGAAAAAACTATGGACTCTGAATACAGATGAAATCTTTTTTTTCACCTTTTTTTTTGTTTTCTTTCTCATGGTTTTTCCTTTTTGCTCTGATTTCACAACATGACTAATGTGGAAATGTTTAACATGACTGTACATGTATAACCTATACATGTATACCTATAGATTGCTTGCTGTCTTGGGGAAAGGAGGTGAGGGCCAAAAATCTGGAACTCAAAATTTTACAAAAATGAATGTTGAAAACTATCTTTACATATAATTGGGAAAAAATAAAATACTGTTTAAAAAAAGAAGCTTGCATTCTATCTGGGGAAAAAATATGTAAGTAACTTAGTACAAATTCAATACGAAATAATTTGTGAAAAGAAGGCACTAGCAGCTGTGGAATAGAAAAAAAATTTACTAAGACTTCATGCAGGAGATGACACTTGAGCTGAGTGTTGATGGAAACTAGGAATTCTATAAAGCACTGTGCACTCTTCCAGGCATGTTGGAAAGATAACACAAAGGCAAAGAGACAGGACATAGAATGCTGTATCTTAGGAATAGCAAAAAGACCAGTTTGGCTGGACTGCAGAGTGAAGGAAGGAGATGAATGTATGATTAAAGGTAGAAAGTTGGGATGAGGTGATAAAGGGCTTTAAATGTCAAATAGGAGTCTGTTATATTTGATCCTAGAGGCAATAGGGAGCATTTAGAGTTCAGTAATAACTATAATAGCTAACATTTATATAGCTCTTACTATGTGCCAGTACTTTACAATAATTATTTCATTTAAGCCTCACAACAACCCTGGGACATACGTGCTATTATTATCCCCATTTTACAGATGAGGAAACTTAGGCAGAGGTTAAATGACTTGCTCCTAGTAACACAACTAGTAAGTATCTGAAGATGAATTTGAATTCAAGTCTTCCTGACTCCAGGCCCAGTGCTCCATCCACTGTACCACACAGCTGCACTCACAATTTTTGGTTGCTCACTTTGGACATGCTGCAACTCATTGGTATCATTCCCAAAATGCATTTATATATGGTTTGACTAGTAAAGGAGTAACATAGTCAGAAGTGTGCTTTAGGAATATCACTTTGTGGAGCTAGGTGGAGCAATAGATAGAGCGCCGGCCATGGAGTCAAGAGGGCCTGAGTTCTAATCCGACCTCAGACATATGACTTACTAGCTTGTGTGACTCTGAACAAATTCACTCAATCCCAATTGCCTCACAAAAATAAACAAATAAATAAGGAATTGTGGAGAAAGGCAGAGACTTGACGAACGAAAACCAGTTAGGAAGCTTTTGTAACAGTCCAAATTATAAGGATCTAAACTAGTATGATAGCCATGTAAATAGGGAAAGAGGAGGTTAGATTCAAGAGATGTTATAAAGATAGAAACAGGAACTAATTTGGTAGGCAGGGTGAGATAGAATGAAGAGTTATAGACGATGGAAACTTAGAAGGATGATGCTATTCTAAACAGAAATAAGAAAATTTGGCAAGAATGGATTTAGGAGTTTTATTTTAGACAAGTTCAATTTCAAATGTCCACTGGACATACAAGCTGAAATTTCCTACAAGTAGCTGGGAGATATAAAATTGGAGCTCAGGGGACAGACAAGGTCTAGCCATCTATAGATTTGTGAACAATAGGCACAGAGATGACAATAATATCCTAAGCTAATGAGGTCACCAAGTAAGAGAACAGAGAGAAAAGGACCCAGAAGAGAGCAGGAGAAGTTGAACCACAAAAGAACAATCACATTGAAGGAATTCAAGAGTACACAGTATCACAAAGACCTAGAAAAGAGCAAGTATTCAGGATAGGGCAGTCAACAAGTATGGAATGCTGCAGAGAACTCAAGAAACAGGAAGCGGAAAAAAAGTCATTAGATTTGGTAACTGAGATAAGAAGATCATAGATTTATGTATGGCCAAGGGTACCTCAGAGGCTAATCCAATCGGCTTGTTTTGACAAATGTTACTGATAACTTTGGAAAGAATAGTTTCATGTGAATGAGGAAGTCAGAAGCCAGAATGCAAAGCTTTTAGAGATGGAAGTAAAGGCAACAAGGGTACATGCTTTTTTCTAGAAATTTGGTTGTGAAAGGGAATAAAGGCTTTAACAGCTAAAGGAGATGATCAAGTGAAGGTTTTTTAACCATGGGCATGTTTATGAGCAGAAGAGAGTGATGAATGAGGGAACAATCTGGAGAAGACAAGAGAAGATGGGATCAAGTGCCCATGTAGAGGGATTGGCCTTAGCAAGCAGAAGGGTTACCTCTTCATCAGAGACTAGTGGAAAGAAAGAATGGAGGAAAATAAAGGGTTTAGAAACACAGACAAGAGGAAAATGGGAAGGTCATGATGAATGGCCTCTATTTAATCTGCAAAATATGAGGTAAGGTCCTCAGCTAAGAAGATGAGGGGAAGAGTAATGTGACAGGCTTGAGGAGAAAAGAGAAGGTTCTGAACAGCTGCTTCTGTAGAGAACAGGATAATCAATTAGGGAAGAGTAAAAGGACTGCCTTGCTGCAGTGAGGGAACTAAAAATCTACCTCTAACAGTAAATCTTTTGGTCCTTTATTGGCATTCTTACTATAATTTTAAATATGTAGAGGTTATATATTTCTTTGAAAGGGACTGTGCAATATATATGTATTTATATTGTTATGGCAATTTTAACCTTGGTGAGATGAACATGTTCATCAGTAAGGGTTCAGTGACAGTATAAGTACAACTGCAGTATCTTCAGTAAATCCAGTTGTGTCAAAGAATATAGATGTTGAAAACTAAAAATAATTAAAAAAAAAAAAAGAACATAAGAAAGAGGTGAAATTCTTTTCCTTTCTACCCCTGAAACAGTATCCTTTCTGATTAAAGGGATGGTAAGCCACTGGGGAATTCGATACCGTTTAAGAAAGTTATGGTATCCCATTTTTATTTTGCTTTTTTATGATCAGCAGTTCCCAAATATTTACAAAATTCTAGACATATTTGTGTGTCCATCTACTTTATTGACCTCGGACTGGCTTAAGAGAAAATCCTAGTAGAAATCATAGCTTTACAGAGTGAACTTGTTCACAATCATCTTCTGCCCTTTCCATATTCGTGAAAAGGCAAGTAAAGTCTTGTGGCTTCCTAATCATTACTATGACTCATCCTAATGCCTACTGAACTGAGCAAGAATTTATTATTTTTCCTATCATAAAGTTAACATACTTCTCTTATCACCAGAAGGATAGCTATTTAGAAATAAGAAGCATTTCCTATACAGACTTTTGGCAAAAGTGAATCAATCTTCAAACTATACATACGTATGTAAATGGAGCTTTCATGGAGTCTG